CCGCAGCCTGCTGCACGACGACTACTCGCGCCGCGTGTCCAGCAGCACCGAGCTGGAGCGCAGGAGGTGCGCCGCGGCCCCGGGCTTCAGCCCAGAGCGTCCTCGGCTACCCCACTTGGACGCGGAGACAGCCGTGTGTCCTCTCGAAGCCCAGAACGTCGATCCTTGCGAGGCTGGCAGCTCGTCCCCGAGTCCGTTTGCCCAGGAAGGGTCGAGCAAAGACTCCCACGAAGCCAAAGCCGGCAGCCAGTTTACATTCGAACCCGAGCAGCCGCTCACCCCCCTAAGGCCCACCACACCCAAGCCCCCTAGTCCTCAGAGCCCGGGCGCTGGAAATGCCAAGTGTCCCAGCAATCTCAGCGCGCTGTCCCTGAGTTCAGTGGACAGCGACGAAAGGGCGGAAGGTCCTGTGTCCTTCCAGGATTCGGTGCAAGCCACATGTGACAGAAGCAGTAAGGACAGCATTGTCGGCAGCCACCCTCAGCTGAGTCCCAGTGGGGCCTCGGGTCCAGAAGAAAAGGAGGAGGTAAGGGCAGGGCAGGGACCTCTTGTAGGTGACCTGCTGTGGGAGGCGCTTGTGACAGTGCCACCATTCACCCCATCTAGAGATTGCCCATATGCACCGGTGTTTTCCTTGGCGTTTGCGCTTTTTCCTTTACCCACCGCCATGGTCGGGGGAGGTGCTGATTGTGTTGCCATCCCAATTATTCTTGTCAAGTTGCCGTTTACCAAATTCAAAGGTATTTTATCTCTTTTGCAACGAATTGCTAATGTAGGACACTCCTTGAGATGGCACTTACCACACCATCTATTCAAGAGATATTTATCGAGCACCAACCACATGCTAGATTGGGAAGTGGACCAGTGATTGGGGGGTGGGGGAGTCAAAAAGAAAAAGACCTGTCATCCACTCCAGACGGCTAATAAGGGCTCTCTTTGATTTTGAATTTTTTTCTTACTCAGATTTCTTCTCTTTTTGTTTTAAACTCTTTATCCTTTTCAGCCGAGTACATATAAATGAGATACTTTGTGTTAAGAGACAGGTACATGTTCTAAGTCTGTTTTTCCCCGCTAGGAATGAATTAGAAACTTGCAGTTTAATACCTGTCAACCCCTGAGTGATGATGGTTCAAAGAAAATTTTATGATGTTATTGTACTTATTTTTAGAGTAGAACATAAGCATCTCATGGATTGAATAAACCAATAACTGTCAAAGCCACAAGAGCAATGTTCTTTTCATGTCCTGTCAAGCATCCAGACAACTTTACCTTACTCTGTAATTTTCGCTTAATAAATGCACTCAGTGATATTGCCTTACAAAGCTGAAAGATTCATCCATGTGTACACATTGCAAATTATTCTTCACACACATTCCTAGACTAGTTTACAGGTATAAATTGCTTGCCATAGACAATAATTCCTTAGCAACTGTTCCTTCCCATTGATCCCTGGCTAGGACTTCAGTTTTGGCTTAATGCTGCAGAAAACTCAGGAGCCAGGGTAGCCTCTGGACTGTCCATATTTGACCTTTGCTTTACAGAGACTTAGAAATCAAAGCCCCTGGCAGATGGCTTTCAGCAGATCTAAATCAGCTTGAGGGCTCCCTGGGCAGCCAGAGAAGTAAGTCGGCCTCGCTTTTTTGTGGATCTAGGTTTGCCGGAGACCTTGGGCCAGCGTGTTTTCCAGAGGTCTTGTGTATGAGCGCCATTTGCTTTTTTGCATATTCCACAGACTGCTTGTGGAACAGTTGTGGGGACACAGAACCAGTTGCCAGCCTTGGGAAGGAGTCCGGTTCTGCTCGCTCTGCTTTATATAATTGGCCAAGGCCTGAACCAGTCTGGGCTTCACGCTTCCTGGTTGATGAGACAAAGCACAGTTCCTTCCACCAGACACCCCAACTTCACACTGATAGTTAGATTTGCATAGGTCTAGAGGGTTCTTTATGTTAAAGGAGGGGATTTTATTTTCTGCTTAACATTTTTAATAATTATTAAAATATTTTATTTCTGAGAGCTTCTTAAGTGAATATATGCAAGGGTTAGTTTCTAACTTAGTTTTCCCAGAGTGATTTTGACCATTATATGGTTTTACATGTATATTTGCTATTCTTAGTTATATATAATTTAATTTCTACCCACAAGGGGTCACCAAAGATACAGAAAGCAGGACATAAGTTATTAAAAGTGTACACATGTTGACAATTCTATAGATTTGCCTCAAGACGATCATCACATTTTTAAGTTTCGTCTATTTCCTCAAAATTCTTTTATAGCACATCAAGCTTCCTCTTATACTTTTAAAGTACGTGTCGAAAGAGAAACATAATGTTGGTTTTGCCCAATTTTCATTTTATTTATTTATTTTGTTTGTTTGTTTTTTAGGCGAGGCAACTCTTGGTTGACCTCACAGATTACAAGGACCTTGTCAGCTTACAGTCCCTTATTTTTAATAATTTTTTTACACCTACAGCACCTGGTCTTCCGAGGTGATCTCCCATCCAAGTACTCACCAGGCCCGACCCTGCTTAGCTTCCGAGATCATACAGGATCAGGCTTGTTCAGGGTAGCATGACCGTAGACCCAATTTTCATTTTATATATTGGTAATCTTCAGTGTTATTTGCAGACAAGTGTTTGTAAATATAACCTGAAACCTTTTATTTTGACGTTGAGAAACAAAATACAAACAAAATGAAACAAACAAAACTAACCCAAAAAACACTTTGCAAAATGCAAGAATTCCAACCTTCATGGGTTGAAAGCAGTTTTATCTTTTAGAGCATAACCCAAAATTAAATTTCAGTCTTCACTATATGTTAAGGTACAATGTGTTATTTTTTATTTAATTCATTGATAATACGGTTCAACTTTCATGTTTAAAACTAGTTTAAGCTGTGGTTATTGTTGAATACAAAATGGTTGAAATCTGTATATTATGATATTTAAAATAAATATAATACAGTTTTCAACAAGGGGGGATATTTTTTATTTAGAATAATTTATTTGTAACATACCATTCTAAACATCACCATAAAAATAATTTTTTAAAAACAAAGCAGTTTAGTAAGATTTTATATTACTGTGAAAAAGAGTTGGGGAAACATCAAGCTACCTTCATTAATAAAGCATTGTAGAAAAATCTCCTTGCTGACATTATACTCCTGCCACCTAGTGGTAAACTTTGTTCCAAGAACAATGATCTGTTGACTGAGTCCCTAAAATTGTTGCACACCTGAGAAATGCAGTGTAGCATCTGTACTTGTTATGTTATAAAGGTACAGGCACAGAAATCTCGAGTGTTATTGATCGTTTTCCTATCAAGTCTTTCTGTAACTCCTTTGACTGAATGAGGTCCCCAGTAAAGGGACCCCATCCTTAGTTATAGTATAGGTTCAGTAGTTTGTGGTAGCGTTGAAATGTGTCGTATACAAAGCTCTTTTAAATGATGAGAATTCATTGCAACATCTTCACAGGGAGCTTCAGTCTTCTGGTAAATGTTTCTGGTTTAGTTGAGATCCTGGCTCTGCCATTCAAAGGATACCTAACATTAGGCAAACTGCTGAACTTCCGTTGGCCTTGGTCTTCTCAAGGGTAGGATGTGGAACACAGTCATCTGTCTTGGCAGTTTGTACGAACCAAGGAAATCGTGCACGTTGGACACTTGGCCCAGTGTTTAACACTGGCCATCACTCCGTGATGCTCACTATCCGTTTAGATGATTTTCCATCCCATGTTGACCTGACTTCTTAAGACATGGACCAGTTAAAGTCAGGTTTCTTTTTTTCCCAAAACTGGTTTTTGACACGCCACTGTCTTGTAGCCTTACGGAGGATTGTGAAGTTCTTCAATTAGTTTGACTTCTCATTAATTTTTTAAAATGCACGAGAATTAGGTTTTAGCATAACGTAACATTTAGATGTTATTTCAGTAATACAGCAAACCAAATTTATTGAGTACCTCCCAGGTGTAAGCCAGTCAGTTAGGTGTAGCTCTGTGAGGAAGAGTAAGTGCTGTCAGGGAGATTATAAATGAGCTAAGGCGTGTCTGAATCATAGCAGAGCTGTGCAGGACGGATTAAATCCCACAGAAGGGGTAAAACCATATGCTGTGGGATTTCTGAAGCGTTGTAGTTTTTACAGGTGTACCAAATCAAGGAAAGCTTAGTGAGAGTGAGTGAATCTGATTGGAAGAAGCTGACATTCTGCAGGTAGTTATGAGAGGAAGGTGGGGCATTTCAGTGGTCAGACACACAGAGATCTTGTGTGATTTGAGAGAACAGGAAATAATATAATTTGGTTTGGTGTAGGAGAATGATCCAAGTTGAGATGAAATCATTAAGCCCAGATCATGGAAGCTCTGCAATTCTGGGTAAAGAATCTGTACATCAGTTGGTAAGCATGGGGGAGTCGAGGATGTTTTTGAGAAGAAAAGAGCCAGGCTCAGAGCTGTGTTTTGGAGAAGTTAACCTATCATTGGTAAAGAAGAGAATGGGCAAGAAAGGCGAGCGGAGGGACAGTCTCAGGAATTTCCAGCCCACGAGAGCTCAGAGGTAATGAGGCTGTGACATAGAGTGCGTAAGGCGGGTACAGGAGCGGATGAAACAACACGTGGGAAACAGTAACGTACCTCGTCATTCATTTCTGACCTAGTTGCTATATGCTAGAAGTAGGGAAAAGAGAGAGTTTTTAAAAAGCTATTCTTATTATTGTGGGTTCACAGTCTCATTGGTAGATTGTATGCGGATAATTATGATATCGGGTGACATGTTTCCAATGAGGAATGCACAAAGTAGCACAGCCGCTCCAAAGACAGAATGACTAACTGGGTGAAGAGTGGCATCATGGGGACGGACAGTTGAGTGTGGTCTCTAAGGTTAGGCTGGGGGATACAGGGGGCGCCGTTGAGCAGCAACGGGGTCTTCAGGAGCCTGGGGGAGCAGGCGGTGCTGCAGACCGGGAGACAGTCAGCCAGAGGATTATCGAAGCTTCATTTTCCACCCCTGCAAACCGGAGGAGTAAGACACTTGCCTTCGCATGAGGTAGTTGTGAAGATTAAATGAGGTGATGCACGTAGAGTACCTAGCACCAAGCTTTGCAGAGAAGACGTGTTCACAACGAGGCTAATATCTTGTGCTAAGGAAACTGCGAGTTGCTCACCATAACTTTTGTACCAGGTGGCTGGGTGGAGACGTGGGAGATAAGATTGGTGAGCTAGGTCTGTACACAATTAGGAAGGTCCGTCCTTGGACCTGCGGAGTTCGGACCTTACCGTGCAGGCAGTAGGAAGCCAGAGAGGTGTTTAACCAGGGATCACGGGGGACCAGCCATGCAGAGAGGATCTGGATGGAGGTGGCCCCGGACTAGACTACTCAACGGTCTGGTCCAGGGGCGCTGAAATCTGTACTAAGGCCATGGCAAAGGAGAGAAGGGGATGATTCCAAAATGATTTCACAGCGTATATTTTAATTAGCGTTTGAATGTTCTGTGGGAGAGAGAAGTCACAGGTGATGGGATGATCGGGAGGATAC